AAAGGACAAAAGTATGAATAGTTGGAACCATAGAAAAAAGTGAGCAAAAAGAGAACTTAAACCATTAGAGAGGGAGTAAAATCTTGGTCACTATTTATTAATCCAACATAAATAAAACACCCAGAAATAAGAGCCTGTTTGTATACAAATTGATCTGAAGTATTCCAGATCCAGAGAAAACGTACCTTGATAGGATTCTGATAGAAGAGACTGAAGAGTAAAGAAAACTGAAGCTGGATGGCTATACAACAGCATAGTCCCCCCAAAGAGGGGTCAGATCTTATTTTAGGCAGGGAGAGACATAAACCAAGCAATAAAGAGAACATAGTTAAAGTAAATTCAGAGGCATACTATTAATTTTGTAAAAATAAGTATTTTTTTTAACACCTGGAAATCCAATGGTTAATGAGTCAGCCACCAGAGACTTCCTAATGAAGCTAATTAAACAGTGTAAAGATTTGCAAACAGACCAATTTAAAGCAGTTTGTTAATAATGTTATAGGAATGCTAAATAAATAATAGTAATAAAGGCATAATTAATGGTGCATAAACCAGGTTGCTAAGGGATTTAAATCTTAAACTTGGACAATTTCCTTTGTGAATTTCACTGAGTTATTTTTGTTACTGATTAGTAAAAATAAGTAATATTATTGACTGAAGGTTAGTTAGTACTATAAGCCTAGAGAGGGATGCCTCGGTGGCTCAGCAGCTGAGCGGCCTTCAGCTCAGGGCGTGATCCTCCAAGGGCAGGGATTGAGCCCTGCATCAGGCTCCCAGGAGCCTGCTTCTCCCTCCTCCTATGTCTCTGCCTCTTTCCCTGTCTCTCATGAATAAATAAATAAAATATAAATAAGTAAACAAACAAACAAATGCTTGGAGAGAAGACAGGCTGAAGTTGGCTACTAAATATGACTGACCATGAGCAAATGACTCGATTTTTTAAAAAATATTTTATTTATTCATTCATGAGAGACAAACAGAGAGAGAGGCAGACACAGGCAGAGGGAGAAGCAGGCTCCAAGCAGGGAGCCCAATGTGGGACTCAATCCCGGGTCTCCAGAATCACACTCTGGGCCAAAGGCGGTGCTAAACCATTAAGCCACCAGGGCTGCCCAGATGACTCAATTTTAATTGTGTACTTGATATGCAGGAATTCCTCTTTGTACAAAAAGTTAACCACCTGCACTTTATCACAAGGACATTAAAACAGATTAAATAAATAGCTTAAAATTGCTGCAAGCTTTTAAAATAATTAAAGTTAAAACTAACTTACCAGGACACAAATTGTCTAAAGTTTGTATTAGCATAATAAACAGGGGGTTATTCCATTACCTAAATTCAACTCAATACCTTCTCTCCAGGTATTAACAGTGATAATAAAAACACTTCCTTGTACTTGCATAGTTTTTCAATTTTGTCAAAGCACTTTTACAAATATTAATTGAAGAAATAGGGCAGCCTGGGTGGCTCAGCCATTTAGCGCTGCCTTCAGCCCAAGGTGTGATCCTGGAGACAGGATCTAGTCCCACGGGCTCCCTGCATGGAGCCTGCTTCTCCCTCTCCTGTGTCTCTGCCTCTCTTTCTCTCTGTGTCTCTCATGAATGAATAAATAAAATCCTTTTTAAAAATTGAAGAAATAGTGTTTTCTACAATCTGATCACTAATTGTACAGGCATGGTAAGTGTAAGTTATGTTGCAAGAAATATTCCTATCTCCTCCCTAGCGCTAATAATAATATACTCCCTGTTATTTATATGGATTTTAACTCCTTTCAAACCATTTTCACACATATTAACTAGAGAAGTGGCGTGAGGAATGATCTTTCCATTCTTCGCATCATCCAAAGGACAGAATTCAAAAAAGCAGAGGACTAAAGATTGATAAATAGATTAGATGGGGGCACCTGAGTGGCTCAGTTAGGCGACTGCCTTTGGCTCGGGTCATGATCCCAGGGTCCTGGGATCGAGCCCCATGTTGAGCTCCCTGCTTGGTGGGGAGTTTGCTTCTCCCTCTTCCTCTGACTACCCCTCCCCCAGGTTTGTGCTCTCTTGTGCTCTGTCTCAAATAAATAAATAAAATCTTTTAAAAAATAGATTAGATGGATTTGAGGCAGTCAACTCATGATTCTTAAAGCTGGATTCATGTTACCCAAAAGTCTTAGAAACAGAACAAACTCTCCAGGACAATAAGCTGATTCTCCCTATCTTTTAAACAGGCTTTAGCAGGTAGCAGAATTAAATAATTAAGATATCTTAAGTATGGGGACCCCTGGGTGGCTCCGTGGTTGAGCGTCCTTTGGCTCAGGGCATGATCCTGGTGTGGGGATTGAGTCCTGCATCAGGCTTCATGCAAGGAGCCTGCTTCTCCCTCTGTCTGTGTCTCTGCCTCTCTATCTTTCATGAATAAATCAGTAAAATTTAAAAAAAAAAAGTTATCTTAAATATGGGCATAAGGGGAGAAACCAAATCTGTCTTGATCACCTCTGTAACCCCTCCATGTCAAGCAAAAGGCTCAATGTATAGTTAATGCTCAATAAAGCAACATTACGATGATTACCACAGGGAGAACATTCTACCCAAGCTCCCACAGAATATCTATTATGGAGCTATTAGTTTTCCTCCACAATTACTGCTTTCAATGTGTACACACCAAGAAGAATCTAAAGAGTTGGGAGACATGTCAATGGTTCAGTTGGTTAAATATCTGCCTTTGGCTCAGGTGGTCCCAGAGTCCTGGGATCCAGCCCCACGTGTGTATGGGGAGGGAATCCCTGCTCAGTGGGGAGCCTGCTTCTCCCTCTTCCTCTGCCTGCCAATCCTCCCTGCTTGTGCTCGCTCACTCTCTGTCAAATGAATAAATAAAATCTTAAAAAAAAAAAAAAAGAATCTAGGATACAGACTACTGGAAAGTAGATTCAGAGGGCCAAGACAATTCCAAAGGCTAAGGAAAATATACCTGATAACCTTAGTTTGGCAAGCAAACACTTTTAAATCCCCATGCTTAAACTAAAAATTACTTCAGCATACTGGTACAGCCATTCTGGAAAACAGTATGGAGGTTCTTCAAAAAGTTAAAAATAGAGCTACCCTATGATCCAGCCACTGCACTACTGGGTATTTGCCCAAAAGATACAAAAATACTAATTCAAAGGAATATATGCACCCAAATGTTTATAGCAGCATTGTCTACATCAGCCAAATTATGGAAACAGCCCAGATGTCCACTAACTGATGAATGTATAAAGATGTGAAATATAGGGCACCTGGGTGGCTCAGCGGTTTAGCGCCTGCCTTCGGCCCGGGGAGTGATCCTGGGGTTCTGGGATCAAGTCCCGCACTGGGCTCCTTGTGTGGAGCCTGCTTCTTGCTCTGCCTGTGTCTCTGACTCTCTCTCTCCTCTGTGTCTCATGAGTAGATAAATAAAATCTTTAAAAAAATCTTAAAAAAAGATGTGAAATATATATCTATAATATACACATGATATATAATATTACATAATATAATATATACACTTATATACACAATGGAATATTAGTCATAAAAAAGAATGAAATCTTGCCATTTGCAATGATGTGGATGGAGCTAGAGTGTATTATGCTAAGCAAAGTAAGTCAGAGAAGAACAAATACCTATGATTTCATTCATATGTGGAATTTAAGAAATAAAACAAATGAACACAGGGGAAAAGAGAGAGAAACAAACCAAGAAACAGAATAAAGAGAACAAGAAGAGAACAAACTGATGGTTACTAGAGGAGAGGTGGGAGGGAGAATAAGTAAAAAAGGTGATGAGGCTTAAGAAGTGCACTTAGTGTGATGAGCACTGAGAGTTATATGTAAGTGCTGAATCACTAAATTGTACACCTGAAACTAATATTACACTGTATGTTAACTGGAACATAAATAAAAACTTTAATAAATAATAATTAAAAAATTAAAATTACTTCAAAAAAGAAGTTCCAAAAGGGAAAATTATTTCCTATATGTTTATATCTTTAGACATCTTGTGAATTGTAAATATAGTTTCTTCCTCTTCTTTGATATCACCAAGATAGAGGAAGGTACTTTTATGTAGTAACTGAGTTACTGGGAATGTGGATCTAAGTAAAATTTTTAATTGACTACATTTTAGAAAGCACCAAGAAACACTGCCATCTTTTTAAAAGTCCATGGTAAAATAAATAAATAGTCCAATGGTAATATATTTCATAAACATTTATAACATTACACTGCTCTGATGTAGTTTTTTATTGTTTCCATATTTTACACATAGCACATTTTTTAAAGTAATGACAAACACAAAGATAAAACATCACAATCTAAAAAAAAAAAAAAAACCACAATCTATGTTCCAAATTTAACTGGAGGTTTCTTTTAAAAATTATTTAGTGAAATTTGTAAATTACACATTAGGAAAAGACAGGCCCATTGGATACTCTACAAACCACACCACTATAGAAGATAAGTTTAAAAGTACAAGTTCTCAGATCATTTTGATCTCCTTAAATATGTGTATGTCCTTTAGGATTATTCTCAAATCAAAGGAAAGAACTAAAACCAAGGTCACCTAAACCATACCAACTTTGGCGTATGGAGTACAGTATTAATACTCAACAAAACAATTTATAAAAGCCTCCTTCACACATTATTTGAGGTAGATAGAAACAAATACTTTACCAAAAATTTCATTTTATATACGTGACAATTTTGCCTGAGGTTGTATACAGAGTATTCAAAGAGGCTATGTTTTATAGATCTGTATTTTATAGATCATCTTTCAGTAGGGTTGCCAGATAAAATACAGGATAATATATTGTATGGAACATACTTACACTACAAAATTACTCATCGTTTATCTGAAATTAAAATTTAAGTGGGCATCCTGTATTTTTATTTGCTATATCTGGCAATGCTATCTTTCAGTTTGTCTGTTTCAGAAAATACCAAATTCACTGCCAGGAAAAGATTTAATCTTGTGAAAGTAAAGTAATTCTTTATTTACCTTTTAGGAACTTCCTGAGAACCAAACCATCATAAATGCTTCCTGCAGAAGCAACTGTAAGAAAGAGAATACAAAGAAATATCACAAACAGATTTTATCTAAAGAACCCAATGGGAGCCTAAAAACACTGTTTATAGATACAGAACATTAAAAGGTAACCACTCTGTAATGAGTTTACTGAAAATGGAGGCACCCAAGAAGCATTATGAGGCTACAATGACTCTCAGGGAACAGAATAACTTCTTAGAGATGAGAACTAAATGGCAAGTCTTTTCACCTATATCCAATACCACGACTGCTTCTTTAGGTAGTACTACTCCTGAGAGAAAGGGATTATAGGAAGACTGCAAACTATAGTCTGTAATCAGAAAACTTGTCAGTAACCCATATTCCAGTATAAGATTCAATTAAAAATTTTGGCCCTTTTAAACAATTTACTCTCTAGCAGAAAATATTAGACTATCAGGTAAGAATTCTCCATACCTAGAGTTAGAAGTCTGAACATCAGAACACTTAAAGCAACAGTCTTTTTTTTTTTAAAGATTTTTCTATTCATTTGTTCATGAGAGGCAGAGAGAGAGAGAGAGAGAGGCAGAGACACAGGCAGAGGGAGAAGTAGGCTCCCCACAGAGAGCCCCATGTGGGACTTGATCCCAGGACCCCGGGATCACAACCTAAGCCAAAGGCAGATGCTCAACCACTGAGCCGCCCAGGTGCCCCTTAATTGTTTTTTTTTTTTTTTAAGTAAACTCTACCACCAATGTGGGGTTCAAACTCACAATCCTGAGATCAAGAATCACATGCTCAACTGACTGAGCCAGCCAGGTGGCCCTAGAGCAATGATTCTCCAGGGTAAGAGGGTGAGGAAGGAAGTAGGGACCTAAGAGGGAAAAAAGATCAGAACCACCTGGAGACTTTCTAAATTGAACATCTCTCCCCCACAGGGTTAACCCACAGTTAAGAATCTAAGAATAACTGCCACAGGAACCAATGAAAATGTGTATATCCCTCCAGAAATGTGTATTCTTCAGGCAGGGAGAAAAGGTTGAGAATAACTGAACTACAGTGAGAGGCAACACCATTATCTAAACGTGTGCTCTCCAAATACAATAACCATTGGATATATGTGGCTATTTAAACTTAAACTTAGCTAACTTAAATTACAAATAAGATTCCTCAGCCACACTAGCCATATTTCAAGTGGTCATTAGCCAAGTGTGGCTAATGGTTACTGTACTGAACAGCACAGATATAGAACATTTCTATCATCACAAAAAGTTCTACTAAAATGCTATTAGAGCAGTGCTTTAGGTTTCCAGATTTTGAATGATTCTAGACAAATGGTATTTCAAAAGGCCTGAGCCCAAGTAGCACAGAACATTCAATAAAAGACAATCATCTCGGGGCAACTGGGTGGCTCAGCCAGTTAAGTGTTTGCCTTCAGCTCCGGTCATGGTCCTGGGATTGAGCCCCCCATGGGGCTCCCTACTTTGCAGGGAACCTGCTTCTCCCTCTGCCTCTGTGCTCTGTTTCTCTCTCTCAAATAAATAAATAAATCTAAAAAAAAAAAAAAAGACAATCATCTTTTTTCTTAACATTCCTCCCAGGCATACACTGGTTCTAACTTAAGGAGAGTGGGTCACTGGGACAGAGATGGCAGGTGGAGTGGCAGGCCCACACTAGTGATTAGTGAGGAGAAGAACAATAATAAGAAAAAAAATACAACCTATACATCTCACAGTGTGTTTATGATGTTTCTCAATTGCATATGTCACACTGTTTCTTCAAACATCCTTTTTAAATTTTAACAAGAGGGATCCCTGGGTGGCGCAGCGGTTTGGCGCCTGCCTTTGGCCCAGGGCGCGATTCTGGCGACCCGGGATCGAATCCCACATCGGGCTCCCGGTGCATGGAGCCTGCTTCTCCCTCTGCCTGTATCTCTGCCTCTCTCTCTCTCTCTGTGTGTGACTATCATAAATGAATGAATGAATGAATGAATGAATGAATGAATAAAAAAATTAAAAAAAAAAAGAGGAAGCATCTGGGTGGCTCAGTTGGTTAACCATCTGCCTTTGACTCAGGTCATGATTCCAGGGTCCTGGGAATGAGCCCCACATCCCTGCTGAGCAGGGAACCTGCTTCTCCCTTTCCTGCTCCCCCAGCTTGTATGCACTCTCTCTCTCTCATTCAAATAAATAAATTTTTAAAATCTTTTAAAAAGTAATTATTAGGGATCCCTGGGTGGCGCAGCAGTTTGGCGCCTGCCTTTGGCCCAGGGCGCGATCCTGGAGACCCTGGATCAAATCCCACGTCAGGCTCCCGGTGCATGGAGCCTGCTTCTCCCTCTGCCTGTGTCTCTGCCTCTCTCTCTCTCTCTGTGTGCCTATCATAAATAAATTAATTAATTAATTAAAAAAAATAAATAAAAAGTAATTATTATCTCAAGGGATGAAATTACTAGAAAGTCTCATTTTCCATACTATATTTCTGTAATGTTGGAATGTTTTATGATAAGCATGTATTTCCCTTCCTTCTACAAAAAAATATGAAAATTATTACATAAAGATCAGAGACAATAAAGACAATAAAGAGAAGAGAGAGGCCCCTATATTTCACATGGGCTGAAGAAGTCCATTTGGTTCAAAATGTCTATGGAACTGGATCTCTTGCCAAAAGCTACTGTGGTCAAGTCCTCTGCTTTGAGTGAAATCAATCCTGCTACCTTGGCCAGTTTATTGGATTAGAATCAATGCATAAACTAATAACCATATACAGACCAACATCACCCTAGCCATCATAACCAAAACTTTCTTATGAATGGTGGGAACTCTGTACAGTCAGAGTAGAGTTCATGCACAGTAACAGCAAACCAGCCTATCATATCTCTCTCAAGGATATATTGCTAGATACCCAAAGGGAAGACAGGGCATTTCAGTTCAGTGAAATAATGTCTTATAGAGCCTAAAGTACTATTCAGTCTCAACTGGGACTCAGGGTGACTCCTCTAAGGCTGACAAGATAACTTCATCCCACAGTATCCTTCAGTAAACCTACAGACAGATACACTCTCTTCTCTCTCTCTCTCACACACACACACACACACACACACACACACACTGGCACGCACACAAGTAACCAAACAAAAAAGGATCACTTCCAAAGTTCAAGACAATAAGTTGTTCCAGGGCCACTCAATGCATCAGCTTCCCTCAAGGGTGTAGGCAAAAACGAGAGAATAAGAGTCAAGTGGAAAAGGTTTATTTTCAAACTAATCACAAATTACAATTATTAAAGTATGCATCATTTGTCATTTTCCTTCTTTTCCTTTATTTTTTGGCTCTCTTCTAACTACCAAAGTCTGGACATATAAAAGGAGATAAAATTCAATGTAATATAAATATGCTGTGAAAGAGGAGGTTAAAACCAAGAGCAAGAAGGAGATTGTTTCTGAGAATTCTTAAGCCAGTAAAATATTCCTCTGAAAAGAGTTTTGTAGAACACATTTGTAAATCTATCACCAGATACTTATTACATAATTGTTTAAGTTTTTTAACTATTCAGTAACCCTGGAGTGATAACATGATAAAAGATTATGACTAACTGAAAATTTTAATTATAACAAATCATAACAAAGACAGAAAAATCAATTATTTCTTCCCCTACTTACTAGTTGTTACACAATGAAGAGTATTTGCCTGGTGCTTAGAATTTAATGCTTCCATGGAAATCATTAGCTGTCGTTCTAACAACGTTCCCTTTGATACTCCTGCTGTTTCACACTTCCAGTGAATTATTAAATATTTCAAAATCTGAAAAGGGCAGAATCCAAAGGAAACAAATCTTTAGAAATCATGGTGGTAATAAATTTATGACAGTTGAATTAACAATCCTAATTTCCAAAAAATAATATTCTTGCTTGCAAAATGTCAGATTTACATCTATTCAGAACAAAGCACTGTGTCTAAACAAAAGTAGTAACTAGGAAAGTGACATAAGAAAGGAGACATAAGAAATTAACACAATACTCAACAATACAGGAAATGGAGACAATAAATTGCTTTATTTAAAGGGTAGGTTCGGGAAGCCTGGGTAGCTTAGCGGTTGAGCGTCTGTCTACCTTAGGCCCAGGGGGTGATCCTGGAGTCCTGCAATCGAGCCCTCATGGGGCTCCCTGCATGGAGCCTGCTTCTCTCTCTGCCTGTGTCTCTGCCTCTCTCTCTCTCTCTCGAATAAATAAAATTTTTAAAAAATAAATAAAAGGTAGGTTTATCTGGAAATAATAATTCGAAAAAATTATGTGGGAGTTTGTTTTTCCTGTTTCTTTTTTCTTCTCCCAAGTAAAAGCCAATATGAAGATTATGAATAAGAATGGCATCTGGTTATGAATCATCTTTATTTTTCATCAAATCATCCTTTCTGAGGATCAGAATACTAGTTAAAAGCACTGGCTTTGGAGCCAGATGTCTGGGTTTGAGTCTCTGATGTGCTATGTGATCTTGGGGAAATTATTTAACTCCTCTCTACCTCAGCTTCCTCATTTACGAAAATGAGGACAAAACTACCACATATGACTACTGCTAAATGTAAACAAAATAAGAGCAAAATGCTTAACACGGTGCCTGGCATAGATAATAATAGTAAATGCTTAACAGACATTCGCTTTTATTTCTAGTAAGTTTATAAGCAGTTAAGACTGCACACAATATTTTAAGTTGAACAGGTTTCAACTGTCCAGATAAAACATCCAATCTTGAGGAGACAAATTTAAAATATTCTGTATTTAGGGAGCTGCCAAATATATCAATCAATTAATAACCAAAGTTAAGACATACTTAGATAATAATATGCTTATACTCGGTGACTTCAATCTAGCGCTTTCTACACTCGATAGGTCTTCTAAACACAACATTTCCAAAGAAACAAGAGCTTAAATGATACACTGGACCAGATGGATTTCACAGATATCTACAGAACTTTACATCCAAACTCAACTGAATACACATTCTTCTCAAGTGCACATGGAACCTTCTCCAGAATAGACCACATACTGGGTCACAAATCGGGTCTGAACCGATACCAAAAGATTAGGATCGTCCCTTGCATATTCTCAGACCATAATGCCTTGAAATCACAACAAGAAGTTTGGAAGGACTTCAAACACGTGGAGGTTAAGGACCATCCTGCTAAAAGATGAAAGGGTCAACCAGGAAATTAAGGAAGAATTAAAAAGATTCATGGAAACTAATGAGAATGAAGATACAACCGTTCAAAATCTTTGGGATGCAGCAAAAGCAGTCCTGAGGGGGAAATACATCGCAATACAAGCATCCATTCAAAAACTGGAAAGAACTCAAATACAAAAGCTAACCTTACACCTAAAAGGAGCTAGAGAAAAAACAGCAAATAGATCCTACACCCAGCAGAAGAAGAGAGTTAATAAAGATTCGAGCAGAACTCAATGAAATCGAGACCAGAAGAACTGTGGAACAGATCAACAAAACCAAGAGTTGTTTCTTTGAAAGAACTAATAAGATAGATAAACCATTAGCTAGCCTTATTAAAAAGAAGAGAGAGAAGACTCAAATAAAATCATGAATGAGAAAGGAGAGATCACTACCAACACCAAGGAAATACAAACGATTTTAAAAACATACTATGAACAGCTCTACGGCAATAAATTAGGCAATCTAGAAGAAATGGATATATTTCTGGAAAGCCACAAACTACCAAAACTAGAACAGGAAGAAACAAAAAACCCGAACAAGCCAATAACCAGGGAGGAAATTGAAGCAGTCATCAAAAAACTCCCAAGACACAAAAGTCCAGGGCCAGATGGCTTCCCAGGGGAATTCTATCAAACATTCAAAGAAGAAACCATACCTATTCTACTAAAGCTGTTCGGAAAGATAGAAAGAGATGGAGTACTTCCAAATTCGTTCTATGAGGCCAGCATCACCTTAATTCCAAAACCAGACAAAGACCCCACCAAAAAGGAGAATTATAGACCAATATCCCTGATGAACATGGATGCAAAAATTCTTAACAAGATACTAGCCAACAGGATCCAACAATACATTAAGAAAATTATTCACCATGACCAAGTAGGATTTATTCCCGGGACACAAGGCTGGTTCAACACTGGTAAAACAATCAATGTGATTCATCATATCAGGAAGAGAAAAACCAAGAACCATATGATCCTCTCATTAGATGCAGAGAAAGCATTTGACAAAATACAGCATCCATTCCTGATCAAAACTCTTCAGAGTGTAGGGATAGAGGGAACATTCCTCAACATCTTAAAAGCCATCTACGAAAAGCCCACAGCAAATATAATTCTCATTTTTTTTTTTTTTAGCAAATATAATTCTCAATGGGGAAGCACTGGGAGCCTTTCCCCTAAGATCAGGAACAAGACAGGGATGTCCACTCTCACCACTGCTATTCAACATAGTACTGGAAGTCCTAGCCTCAGCAATCAGACAACAAAAAGACATTAAAGGCATTCAAATTGGCAAAGAAGTCAAACTCTCCCTCTTCGCCGATGACATGATACTCTACATAGAAAACCCAAAAGACTCCACCCCAAGATTGCTAGAACTCATACAGCAATTTGGCAGCTTGGCAGGATACAAAATCAATGCCCAAAAGTCAGTGGCATTTCTATACACTAACAATGTGACTGAAGAAAGAGAAATTAAGGAGTCAATCCCATTTACAATTGCACCCAAAAGCATAAGATACCTAGGAATAAACCTAACCAAAGAGGTAAAGGATCTATACCCTAAAAACTAGAGAACACTTCTGAAAGAAATTGAGGAAGACACAAAGAGATGGAAAAATATTCCATGCTCACGGATTGGCAGAATTAATATTGTGAAAATGTGAATGTTACCCAGGGCAATTTACACGTTTAATGCAATCCCTATCAAAATATCATGGACTTTCTTCAGAGACTTAGAACAAATTATTTTAAGATTTGTGTGGAATCAGAAAAGACCCCGAATAGCCAGGGGAATTTTAAAAAAGAAAACCATAGCTGGGGGCATCACAATGCCAGATTTCAGGTTGTACTACAAAGCTGTGGTCATCAAGACAGTGTGGTACTGGCACAAAAACAGACACATAATCAATGGAACAGAATAGAGAATCCAGAAGTGGACCCTCAACTTTATGGTCAACTAATATTCAATAAAGGAGGAAAGACTATCCACTGGAAGAAAGACAGTCTCTTCAATAGATGGTGCTGGGAAAATTGGACATCCACATGCAGAAGAATGAAACTAGACCATTCTCTTACACCATACACAAAGATAAACTCAAAATGGATGAAAGATCTAAATGTGAGACAAGATTCTATCAAAATCCTAGAGGAGAACACAGGCAACACCCTTTTTGAACTCGGCCATAGTAACTTCTTGCAAGATACATCCACAAAGGCAAAAGAAACAAAAGCAAAAATGAACTATTGGATTTCATCAAGATAAGAAGCTTTTGCACAGCAAAGGATACAGTCAACAAAACTAAAAGACAGGGATCCCTGGGTGGCGCAGCGGTTTAGCGCCTGCCTTTGGCCCAGGGCGCAATCCTGGAGACCCGGGATCGAATCCCACGTCGGGCTCCCGGTGCATGGAGCCTGCTTCTCCATCTGCCTGTGTCTCTGCCTCTCTCTGTCTCTCTGTGACTATCGTAAAAAAAAAAAAAAAAAACTAAAAGACAACCTACGAATGGGAGAAGATATTTGCAAATGACATATCAGATAAAGGGCTAGTTTCCAAGATCTATAAAGAAGTTATTAAACTCAACACCAAAGAAACAAACGATCCAATCATGAAATGGGCAAAAGACATGAACAGAAATCTCACAGAGGAAGACATAGACATGGCCAACAAGCACATGAGAAAATGCTCTGCATCACTGGCCATCAGGGAAATACAAATCAAAACTACAATGAGATACCACCTCACACCAGTGAGAATGGAGAAAATTAACAAGGCAGGAAACCACAAATGTTGGAGAGGATGTGGAGAAAAGGGAACCCTCTTACTCTGTTGGTGGGAATGTGAAATGGTGCAGCCACTCTGGAAAACTGTGTGGAAGTTCCTCAAAGAGTTAAAAATAGACCTGCCCTACGACCCAGCAATTGCACTGCTGGGGATTTACCCCAAAGATACAGATGCAATGAAACGCCGGGACACCTGCACCCAGATGTTTATAGCAGCAATGTCCACAATAGCCAAACTGTGCAAGGAGCCTCGGCGTCCATCGAAAGATGAATGGATAAAGAAGATGTGGTTTGGGAACCCTGGGTGGCTCAGCGGTTTAGCGCCTGCCTTTGGCCCAGGGCGCGATCCTGGAGTCCTAGGATCGAGTCCCACGTCTGGCTCCTGGCATGGAGCCTGCTTCTCCCTCCTCCTGTGTCTCTACCTCTCTCTCTCTCTATGTCCATCACAAATTAAAAAAAAAAAAAAGATGTGGTTTATGTATACAATGGAATATTACTCAGCCATTAGAAATGACAAATACCCACCATTTGCTTCAACGTGGATGGAACTGGATGGAACTGCTGAGTGAAATAAGTCAATCAGAGTAGGACAAACATTATATGTTCTCATTTATTTGGGGAATATAAATAATAGTGAAAGGGAATAGAAGGGAAGGGAGAAGAAATGGGTAGGAAATATCAGAAAGGGAGACAGAACATAAAGACTCCTAACTCTGGGAAACGAACTAGGGGTGATGGAAGGGGAGGAGGGCGGGGGTGGGGGGGTGAATGGGTGACGGGCACTGAGGGGGGGCACTTGACGGGATGATCACTGGGTGTTATTCTGTATGTTGGCAAATTGAACACCAATAAAAATAAATTTATTATTAAAAATATTCTGTATTTAATTCCACTATTTATAAAAGCACACTCTCACTTCCACACTAAAGTATCATAGGGAAAATTACTACCTCTTTTAAAGCAAGGAGATCTCAGAGAACTTGGGAATGAAGATCCTAATTTGTACCCAAGTTTATAAGAATGGCTTCCAGACATTTCTACAATCCAGCACTTTCCTTCACACAGCCTCTGACTTAGTGTGCTCCCCTCTGTTAAGATCTTCCCGCAGTGGCTTTATCCGTAGATTGCAATTGGGAAAATAACACTGGCCTGGGAGTCAGAAGCTCTGGGTTCTAGCCTAGCCTCCGTCTGTAAAATCGAATCCTTCAACTTGGAGGATAAGGCCTTGAAGGCAAGACGACCGGGCGAACGCTCAGGTGCCGTCAGGTCAACCCCGTCAGGCCTGTGGTTCTGTTCTGTCTAGTACCCCTTACAAGACCAAGGGTTAAGAAAGTGAGCAGGTGGCGGCTCTGAGGGTGCTGCCATGGGTGAACTCACGCAGCGTGGCGGCACCGGACGCCCCATCCCACTTTCCAGAGCAGGAAAGTTCCCGGGACCGCGTGGGGTGGTAGAGGCCGAGGGGGAGGCCTCTGCACCACCCTCCACCACCCAGACCCAGGCACGCGCCCCACGCCACACGAGTCTGCCTCTCTCCTACTTCGCCCGCTCTGGCCTCGCCTTGCGCCCGAGGCTGCCCAGTAGTCTTTCCTGCGCACCCCCTCCGCCCCGGGGAGAGGCCCCCTTCACTCCAGGCTGGTTTCCCCGGCCCTGACCTGGGTGTCCCGCGAACGCCTAGCAAACACTTCAGCTTCTGGGGCCTCGCTCTTCTGGGCTGTGAAATGAGGCGTTCCCCCAACTGAGGCGCTGTCCCTCATCTGCTCCTCACAGCACCGTGTGGGGCCAGCGAGCTTCCGCCGAATCACCCCATTCCCACCTCAGGCACCACCAGACCCCTCTCCCCAAACTTTGCGGTTCGCTCACGAAACCCTCCTCAGAGGGTCCTTCTCGGCCTTCTCTCCTCCCTGGCATCACCTCGCATACTGCCACGGCCGCCCCTTCCATGGCGCGGGGGCAGCAGCAGCGACGCCCACCACCTGCTGCCCGCTGGGACGTCGACCTCCGCCGGCACCCACGCCAGGCAGCGCAGAGTTCTTCCCGCACGCGCGCGCGCACGCGCGCCCCGCCCCCTGGCCCACCGCGCGTGCGCACTTCACGCCGCACCACCCCCAGGCCGCGAGCAGCCAGGGCTTGCCCAGAGCGGTGGGGAGGTGCCGGGAGCCGCGAGGGTCGTGGGCGGACGGATGGGCGGGCCGCCGGGCTGGGGAGAGCCTGCGGGCTGCGACTGAGGCTGGTGGTGCGGGAACGAGGCCAGTCGAAGACTCTCCTTCCTCTGGAAAGAGACTTTCCCACAGTCCCGCCGAGGTGCAGCCCTCAGCCGGGAGGAGCTGCTGAGGCCCGGTGCGAGATCCCCAAGCCTGTTCTTGACTCCCCCGCGGCCTCATCTCCTGCCGGGGCTGCCCCAGGTGCCCTTGACCTGCCTCTGGTTCCCAGATTTAGCAAATAAAAATACAGGACGGCCAGCTAAAACTGAATTTCAGATTTTAAAAAATTGTTTTTAAGCTACGAATATCCCTCGAAATACTTGGGACTTAAGTATACTAAAAAATTATTCGCTCATCTGAAATTCAAAACTAGGCATCCTGTATTTTACCTGGCAACTGCCCCAAGCATGTCCCCAGCCTAATCCCAAAGTGCCTGGCCAGCCCCAGGCAGGACCTGGAACGCCCCGCCCCACGTTTGGCTCTGCACTAAATATGCCAACGGCGGAGCTGGTTTTCACGGGCTTCAGCTGACTCGACAAGCTCTGGGGTTTTCAGTGTTCCCAGCTGGAAGGAAGTTATTACTCCAGACCAGCTGCTGGACTTCAGGCAGGTTCAGGGAGGGACGTGGTGAGCGGGGCTTGAGCCCAAACTGATAGTCTGGCAGCTGGTTCCCCAGGCAGCTGAAAGAAAACAGGTGAGAGAGATTCTTGTGTAGCAAAGAGTTGCCCAAGGAGAAGGGTGGAACAGGGTGTTGGCTGCTTTCCTTCAGGGAAAATTCTTCCACCCCAACTCCAAGAAGCCAGGATTGGACAGAACAGATGGGGGAGCTGGCAGAGTGCCCACCCAGTACACAACCTTGGTGCTACTCCAGAGAACGTGTCTGCTAAGATCTGAATCATAGCCTTGGCCAGTCCATGGCCTGTGCCTTTGACCACCTTCTCCAGCACAGTTGCTCACAGGTAGACCTACTGGAGAAAGGTAGCTTTTATTTCTGGAAAATTCATCATAAAACCATCTCAGACTTGATAAGAAAGCTGGCATTAGGGGAATCCTTGGAGCCCACCTCTCCCTTTCACTGTCTTCTCTCTCCGGTGTTCCTTTTAGGCAAAGGAGTTGCCAAGGAGAAGGGAGCTAACATTTATTGAATGACTTCATGTTGTCTGACACCACTGGCTCTTTACACAAGTTTTTTTCACTCTCACAACTATCTTGTGAGATCCTTACTATATTCACTATCCATCAGTGAGGAACCAAGGCGCTGAGGATGGCTCTTCAAAAATATTTCCCATAGAGAGTTCTGGCTCAGCAGGAAATGCCCCACCTTGAGAGTGGCATTGGGAATGAAGGGTGGAGGAACACTTGGAAATGTAGAAGTACCTCAGATGAATTGGTTGTCCTGGCTTCCAGCTCTTGGTCTTGGAGTGAGCTTCAGGGATGAACATGCAGTGGAGTACCCAACACCATCCTAGAGTCAGAGGAAATCTAACAGAGGCCAGGAACACAGCCACCTTCCATACTGGATGTGGGCAGAAGTGAGGAGGGGAGCCTTTGATATGAAGGCCTGCCATCAGGACTTCCATAGTATAAACCCTTTTAGATAAGCAACGTGGTTTTGTTTGTTTGTTTAGGTAGGCTCCATGCCCAACATGGGGCTTGAACCCATGACTCTGAGATCAGGAGTCCCACACTCAACTGGCTGAGCCAGCCAGGTGCCCCCTTTAGACAAAGTTTGATGCAGACTTGACGTTTGGTGGGCATCTACTCTGTGCTAAGTGGTCTTCACTTTTTCTTATCTGTTTTAAGTCATCCTCCCAGTATTGTATGGAAGGTGTTATCCTTGTTTTATAAAGAATGAAGATGAGGTTCCAAGAAGAGGTTGTATGACAGTGAGTTGTAAATGGTAGGGCCAGAATCTGAAACAAACATCTCTTAACACTTCTTTCTGCTCCCCGGCGCATCTCCTACTTGGATGTGATTGCTTGTCTGAGGTCTGTGGTATAGGAACATTAACTCTACCATGTAAAGCCAGTCCCTCCATTCAAAAACTAAGGAATCAATGAACTTAGATGCCCTCCTCTCCCACAAACTAAGGTTTGAATGAATGGAAGCTCCTAACCCTTCAATATGTGCCCCATCCTGCTTGGGGTCTGGTAACTAATATACTATTGAACTCTGCATTATTAAAATTGTTTTTACTCAGATCCCATCCTCAGAGAAGTAGAATGTCACAGTCATAAGGGACCGTAGAGGTTATCAATTACCTTCAATCGAGGAAGAAATTTGAGTTCCAAAGTTAAGGTCACTTTAGTCAACCAGGTCAGCCAAGGAGCTTTGGGATGCTGCTCTGGACATTTTTAGCCCTGGTGTTCAGGGTCTTATTATTAGTGTCTTCAGGGGGCCAGTTATCCCCAGTCCTTGGACTTAGTGGCATATTAATTCTCCTTAATATGCAGACATTTATGCGCCCACCTCAGTATTTAGGATAGTGTTGCATGTCTGCTTTGAATATCCTGCATATTCTGAGAAGAAATCCTCTGGATAGAAGAGACCCTGTCTAAAGAGCCCCAGGTTGGTTCTGACCCAAACCCAAGGGTTAAAGTGGAACCAGAAATCTAAGAAATGCTGCCAGGTCAACAGTGACATTTGACATTTTAGGAACTGCTGAGCTGTCTTTCCCTTGTAAATGTGCCCTCTCTGTGTATGTCATTCCTAGACACCTCTTAGGTCTACCTTGTGCTCAGGCTCCCTTAAAGCATTCAAAAGCCCTGAAAAGATAGACCATAGGAACTGAAATGGAAAATATCCCTGAGGTCTCCTTTATCGGACTGATGCAAAACTAAATCCATTTGAGAAGTTTCTTTCCCCCTGGGAAACTACTAAAAGAGGCTGTTTCCCATACACGCAATAGGAAAGGGTTAACTGCTTCTCTTGGGTCCTGAGCCAAGTCTGTCCCCCACCAGTTCCCATAACCGGGTTTCCTGAAATGGAGCAGGTCCCAGGTGCCTCTCCACTAATCACATCCTTGGAAATGGGGCCAGGAAGCTCAGATTAGCTCATCCCTTCACCTTCTTGAGGCCTTCTCCACCTGGAGCACAGAATCTGGGGCAGCTTTGCTACTCACCTCCCTCTCTGCTTTCCTATCCGGGGTCAGACAGGGATGTTCTCACAGAGGTATGTTAGGTTTCGGGGGCACTAGAGGCCATAGTGGTGCCGACTTTTGTACCAATTCTTGGACTACAGCATTTGTCCTTCCTCATTCTAAGACTTATGGGCAAAAGATTCTCCCCCAAGACAATACTAGAGTTTGTATAGATGGAGTATTATTTACTTCACCACTTTTCCCTATGTTTTCTTCCTCAACTTCTTAGATAGCTTCCTGGTTTTCCAAGCTGACAACCCCCCCCCCAACCTCCTAACCCCACCCCCGTACAGAGTCTGATTCCTCATCTATCAGTAGTAAGTTCCCAGGCCAACTGGGAAGATTTCATTCCATCCCTGTTAATGTGTAATTCCTACTCTTCCCTGATAACCAATAAAATCTATATCACAAAGCTTGTTCTACTCTCTAATTGGCTTTTAACTTTCTCTCTAGGCAGGGTTGGATGTCTTAGCTGATGTCCACTGTGTAGGAGGCATTCTTTGTGGCATAGAAGCTTTGAGAATGGAAAAAGCAGTGTAATCTGGTCCTGTATGATTGAGGAAACCTATTGATCCAAAGGCCAGATGATCAACTTTATTTGAAAGACAAATAGGCTAACTGGGAAAAATATTCTGGGAAAAAGAGGACACTGGCTCCACATGTAGTCTTAGTTTGGTCTTCATCTGATTATAGTACTCTAAGGACTCTGCCAGGCATGCTGGTGTATGGAGTCTTTAAAGCTAGTAATATGCAGTCTTCGTGGAGCTGATTTTCCACTGATCACTGAGGTTGACTTGATTTCATCCATTCTAGCGTTGTTACCTCTATTATCTTCTGTTTCTTCAACTTCCCTTCTCACCAGCTGAAAAGAGGCTGTGGAATCAAAATTCTAAAATGGTGAGGATGTCTGGATTCTTTTCCTGTTTTATCACTTACTTTTGGTGTTATGTTCCAGTTTTCCTCAACTAAAATGGGAAAATTATCCCAGGAATATAGTTTTTTAAAAAAATCTGTGAAACAATTTGAGAGTCTTAGAATCTTTTTTTTTTTAAGATTTTTTTTGTATTTTTAAGCAATCTCTCCACCCAACTTGGGGCTCTGAACTTTCAACCCAGAGATCAAGAGTTGCATGCTCTACCAACTGAGCTAGCCACATGCCCCTAGAATCTTTAGAGGAAATCTTAGAAGTCATTTAATCCAGTATTTCCCAACCAGAGAAGTAGTATTTTTTTCCAATTCATTTCCTTTATCCCCAACCCTCCTCCTGAACAGCCTCTTTGTACCTCCTTCTTCAACCCCTTTCTGGTATCCAAGGTAGAGAACTGATCTAGTTTGCACAATATATTTCATGTACTTAGGGTTGTGAAACACTGCCCTAATTCACCTCCCCATTTCATGTAATACTCATTCCAACAGTCCTGACAAGTTGATATCTTGCTTTTACTTGAATACCTCATGTTGAGAAATTTGCCACCTCAGAAGCAACCCGTTCCAGTTCTGGACAGCCGTGGTTTGGTAAGGAGTTTCTTATTATATTGAAC